TACGCTTTGCTAGTTATCTCTTCGCCCTCTTCCACCTCGCTATCGCTCTTTTCACATTCTCTACCTCTGCACCCGTCCATTCTATTCCTGGACTTTTTTTCGTTTTGAAAGAGATTGATTGACAGCTAAGAAAACTGGCTATCTGTTTGGAAACTTTTATTTATGAGCAGACAGACTGATGGCTTATCGGCATGGTTGCTGTGGAATTTCGCCATTGTTCGTTCTCGACTTCGATCACTTCCAACGGAAATTTCTATGCAGGCCAACCAGTCTGACACCTAATTCATGCTACAAGCGGCGACTTTATCCAAGCCATGGAAGTCTGTAAACGGATTGGTGCCTCGTATCATTCCTTTATTGTACGGAGGCCGAAGTTTAGAATCTCATTTAGTCATATTCGGTTGCTAATAACTTATTCTCACACAGTTTCCCCCCGAAGTATGTGCTGAACAAATTGAAAAACTTCTATTAGTAGATTAACAAATTCAATATTAATGGAAGAAAAAAAGTGGATAACTGTTTGTTCAATAATTCTTCATAATAAGCCAAGAATATTTTTGGGAAACGGGTGTATATTTTTGTGTGAATCTCGAATTTCATCATACACACATGCATGCATGCATGCATACATACATACATACATAAAAATGCACACATTCATACACATACACTACGCATGCCAGTGAGTCAGGCGCGAAAATTCTCGGACTTGTTAAGCATTTCCGCTCGGACTTGTTAATGCAGCGCTGCCAACCCAGGATATTAAGGATTTTAATTCGCTTTCAACTGGTATATCTTCAAAATCCCACAGCAAGACTTAATGCATTTGTTGTCCCAATCTTACATTATCCTAGTCATATAGGACAGTCTACAAATGAGTGTTCTCACCGAGTAAGGGAGCCTTTCAAACACTGGACTCACCATTTGAACACTCAAAAATCAGTTTTGATAGCGAAGAACTAAGAAAATCTTTCGATGCTGGCTAATTTTCCTCACACTCATATTCTGTCTTACATTGTAAGAAGGAAACTAACCGTTCAACAGTTTAATTGGCTGCATTAACATTGCCTGTAATTAATACGACAATGCTTCTTGTAGAAGAGTTAGTAACGACGCAGGTCACAAAAGCTTAACCGATTAAAAGTGA